ACACCTGCACACTTGTGTGCATGCATGTGGAGGCTAGAGGTCAATGACAGGTGTCCTCCTCAATCACTCTCTACCTATGTTTTAAATGTTTTCTTTAAGATTTACTTTTCTTTCTTTTTTTTTTTTTTTTTTTTTTTTTTTTTTTTTTTTTTTAAAATTAACTGCTTGAGTCCTGGAACTCACTATGTAGACCAGGCTGGCCTCGAACTCACAAAGATCCGCCTGCCTCTGCCTCCCAAGTGCTGGGATTAAAGATGTGCCACCACACACGGCAAGATTGTTTTTTTATTTCTTAATTATATGTAGGTGTGTTGAGTTTGTGTGGGGCTTTGGGCTTATGAGTGCGGTTGCCCAAAGAAGCCAGAAGAGGGCATTAGGTCCCCTGGAGCTGGAGTTCCAGGAAGTTGTGAGCTGCTGGACATGGGTGCTGGGAACCAAACTCAGGTCATCTGTAAGAACAATAAGCACTCTTTATCACTGAGTCATCTCTCCAGCCTCCATCTTATTTTTCAGACAGTGACTCCCAGTGTACCTGAAGCTCATAGACTGGCTGGCCAGCAATCCTCAGGAATCTTCCTACCTCTACCTCTACCTCCCAGTAGTAGAATTATGGGCCTACACTGCTGTACCCAGCTAAATGGGGGAGGGTCTAAACTCAGGTCCTCATGCATGCATGGCAAGCATGTTACCATCTGGACATCTCCCCAGGTCCCTCAGGTATAGTCCTTAAAAATTTAACATAAAAGATTTTATTATTTATTACTATTATTATGATTATTATTATTATTGATGGTGGTGGTGTGTGCATACAGAGGTGGGGGAGCTCGTGCTGGTGCACACGTGGTGGTCAGAAGACAACTTTGTGAAATCAATTCTCTCTTTCCACTTTGACATGGATTCTGAGGATCCAACTCAAATTGTCAAGCTTTTGTGGCAAACACTCTACCTGCTAAAGTATCTTGCCAGCCCAGATAAACAGTGTTTAAATACAGAAAAAAAGGTATAAAAAGTACTAAAACAGTTTTAAAAAATAATCTCAATATGAAAAAAGCTTTTCTTATGTAACACAAATACCACAATCCATTAAAAATTATTAATCTGGGCTGGAGAGATGGCTCAGCGGTTAAGAGCACTGGCTGCTCTTGCAGAGGATTCAGGTTCGATTCCTAGCACCCATATGGTGGCTAACAACCATCTGTAACTCCAGTTCCAGGGGAAGTCCAATGCCCTCTTCTGACCTCCAAAGTCACTGTACAACACTGGTGTACCTACATACCTGCAAGCAATACACTCATACATAAAAAATAAAAATAAAAAATTTTCAATGATAAATCTAACAAAATTAGAAACAAGACTTTATTAATTATTTGGGGGGGGATCTTTTTGAGACAGGGTCTCCCTGTATCCCACCTGGCCTGGAACTCACTGTGTAGACCAGGCTGGCCTCAAACTCACAGAGATCTGCCTGCCTCTGCCTCTCAAGTGCTGGGATTAAAAGCATGAGCCACCACACCCAGTATTATTTATTTATTTTTACTATATGTGCATGAGTGTTTTCCCTTCATGTGGGTATATGCACCCAGGCATCCAATCCCCATGGAGACCAGAAGAGGGCACTGGATCCCTGGGAGCTAAAGTTACTGATGGTTATTAGCCACTACATGGATGCTGGGAACTGAGCCTGGGTCCTCTGTAAAAGTAGCCAGTGCTCTTATCCATGGAGCCATCTTTCAAGCCCCATAAACAAGAGTTTTTGTTTTGTTTTGTTTATTTTATGTGTATGAGTATACTGCCTGCATGTACATAAGGCAATGCCCACGGAGGTCAGAAGAGGGCACCAGATCCCCTGTAACTGGAGTTAGGACAGTTGTTAGCTGCCACAGGGGTGCTGGGAATCGAGCCTGGGTCCTCTGCAAAAGCAGCCGGTGTTCTTAACTGCTGACCCATCTCTCCGGGCCCCACATGAGATTTTCTTAATGATAAGAGAAAAGCATAAGAAAACGCTGAACTAGGAAAAAGCAGTTGCAATTAGTATCACAGAAGAGTACTAATTTCTTTTAAGTGTGTATGTTAGAGCAATAGACCCTTAAGCCAAAGCATTTCCTGGTTTTTAGCCAAATCCAGGGGCCAAGTCACCATCTAAAGTTTGACAAAGAATGTGAGTCCACAAAAGGTTCTAAATCCTGTAGGAAAGCATTTCCCAACTTCAGTAGAGTAAGAAACCCTGTTTTGAGCTGGATAGATGGCTCCCTGGTTAAGAGCATTGGTTGCTCTTACAGAGGACCCGGGTTCAGTTCCCAGCACCCATGTAGCAGCTAACAACCATTAATAACTTTAGTTGCAGGGGATCCAACACCCTCTTCTGGCCTCCACAGGGACTGCATGCCTGGGTGCATATAATGTCCATAACTCCAGTTCCAGGGGATCAGGCACTCTCTTCTGGCTTCCATGGGTACTAGGCACATACAGTATACACACATATGTACAGGCAAAATATTCATACACATAAAAATAAACCTTTTTTTAATTACTTGTTATGCAAGTTTGAGAACTACAATTTTTGCCTCTGGGCATATGGCTCAGTAGGCAGAGTGCTTGCTTAGCAGGCAGAAAGCCCACTGCATAGACCAGGTACTATGGTGCATGCCTGCAATCCTAGAACTAAGGAGGTAGAGACAAAAAGATTAGAAATTCAAAATATACATAGTATATTCAAAGCCAACCTGGGATACATAAAACCCTGTCTCAAGGAAAAGACATACACACAAATACACACATTAAAACACACACACAGAAAAGTCCTACAGTCTTTACCAGGGTTCCAATTTCACTCTTCACCAACATCAGGCAAGTATCAATGACAAAATTCAAGGATCAGAGATAGAGACAACAAAAATCTACAACACAGGACTCTTTATTGTTGCTGTGGTTTGTATATTGGTTCTTTTATTTTACTGTTTTAATTTTAGACAGGGTTTTACTTTGTAGTCCAGGCTAGCCTAGAACTTGCTATGTAGCCCAAGCTGGCTTCAAACTCATGATCCTCCTGCCTCAGTTTCCCTAAGGCAGAGCACATGCTTGGCACCAAATGATGCCTTTAAATAAAAGTGGTTTAAATAGCTAGGCATGGTGGCACACACCTTTAATTCTAGTACTCTGGAGGCAAAGGCAGGTAGATCTGAAACTGAAACCTACCTACTCTATGTAGTAAGTTCCAGGCTAGATGGGGCTACAGGGAGACCCGTCTCAAAAACAAAAACAAAAATAACAAAAAAGTGGATTAAATTGATTTAAGCTAAGATTGAGCCAAAGAATAAGCTTCCTGGAGACAGAACCATACTTTTATTTTTTCATAAACAAAGTCAAGGTAATTTTCTGTCAAACCAAATGACTCTGTGCTTTAATTAAGTAACTGTGAAGGCTCCGTTAGTGTTTGCACATTACTTATTTCACCAGATCATCATTACAAAACACCTGAAGATAAGCCAGGAAAATGGGAAAATGTTAATATCCTCCCCCACTTCACCAATGAAGAGTTCAAGTTCTAATATCTGCAAGTGGAAGACACTAAGAGTAGAAATAAAGGTTCACTAATTCCTTTATGAGAATAGACAACCAGCAAAAGTTAATTCTACAAGAACTCAGATTTACACATTACTCATTTGTGTTAAATTACCTGAAGGTTATGTTCAAAGCAGGTTAAGGTCTTGTTAAACAGACTGAGGAAATGTTCTGTATTATTTGATAAATCTTCACCGTTGTTTGCTAAACAATCTATCAAAAAAGAAAAAAGACAGCATGTTAATGTGTTGTCAGTAATGAGCTGTCACTTGTTCTCAAGCTATCACTTTTTCTTTTGCACAGCAGCAATCCTCCATAAAGAAACAAGCATTCCACACCAGAGAAGCTGCAAATACACGAAACTTACTCCTTTTTGTTTTTTAAAATTTAGTCCTTTTTGTTTTGTAATTTTTTAAATTTTTTTGTCTTTTTGAAGCAGGGTCTCCCTGTAGCCCCAGCTGTCCTGGAACTCACTATGTAGACCAGGCTGGCCTTGAACTTACAGAGATCCGCCTGCCTCTGCCTCCCGAGTGCTGGGACTACAGGCGTGTGCTACCACGCCTGGCTCAAAACCTTTTTGTTTTTTAAAAACATTTCATGAAATTTCTAATATAATTGCGTGCCCTCTTTTATAAAAACAGTTAAAATTGATTTTTAATGGTGAAAGCTTATATGAAAATCAGCCAATAAATGTTGTCTTGATCATTCTTTGACATATGCCTTTGTTTTAAAAGGTTTATTTACTTTTATTGATGTATATGAGTATTCGCCTGCATGTCTATATGTGCACTATGTGTGTGCCTCCTGCCCGAAGGGACCAGACAAGGGTATTATATCCCCTGGAGCTAGAGTTACAGACAGTTGTGAGTCACCATGTGGGTGCTGGGAACCAAACCCAGGTCCTCTGCAAGAATCATCTTTCCAGCCCCAATATATAACTTTTTACCTTGTATTAATTTTGCCTAAGCTCTTATGTCTTTTTAAAATCTGTATAGAGTTTGGCACCTCACTGATGTGATCAGAGTAGCCCTTTAGATTCGTTCTTTCTAATCTATCATGAGTTGGTGCCCAAAGAAACAACTTGGTGAAAATTCTGTCTAAAAAACTGACAAAGAGGCCAAGCATGGTGGTGCACACCTTTAATCCCAGCACTCAGCAGGCAGAGGCAGGCAGACCTCCGTGAGTTCAAGGCCAGCCTGGTCTATATTGCAAGTTCCAGGCAAGCTGGGGCTACAGGGAGACCCTGTCTCAAAAAGACCCCCCAAAAACAAACAAAAATAAGCAAACAAAAAGTGGCAAAGGCATGTGGGGGGTGGAGTGCAGCTAGAGAGATGGTTCAGCGGGTAAGAGCACTGGTTGCTCTTTCAGAAGACCTGGGTTTGGTTCCCAGCAACCACAAGGCAGCTAACAGCCACCAGCAACTCCAGTTCCAGGGGACTCAATACCCTCTTCTGGCCTCCATGAACACTGTGTGCATGTAGTGCACTTACATCCATGCAGACAAAACACTCATAAACATTAAAAATTTTTAATTTTAAAATAAATAGAAATTTCCATGTTTTTGCAAATCTTACATATGTGGTACTCCTCTGAAACTCGGTGCTCTTGCTTAGCATTAGCTCAAGTTCATTTACTTCTTTTGTTTCTTGTGTATGAATATGATACAACTTTAAAATTTTTTCTTATTGCATTTTATTTATTTGTTTGTTTATTTAGTGTATGTGTGCACTCACGTGTATGCCATAGAGTGCGTGTGAAGGTCAAAGGATAAATTGCTAGAGTTGGTTCTCTCCATCCACCATGTGGGTTCGAGAGATCAAACTCAGGTTGTCAGGCTTAGCGGCAAGTGGCTTTAACACTTGCCACGTGGCCCGATATGACATAATCTGTGGGTCAATTCTCCCCTTTTTGGTAAGCCTATTTTTTATCCTCCCTTTGTGTTTTCATTTCCCTGCAGCCACAGATTGCTTTCTCCAATCCAGGCTCAATGATCTGACTTCACATCCCAGAACTGGGGTGGGCCATTTCTTTCTTTTTTTTTTTAACTTAAAAAAAATTTTTATTGAGACTTTCATACATGCATATAAGGTGTTCTGACCAAATCCACACCCACTCCCTCCCCTCCAACTCCTCCTATATCTCCCCATCAGTTTTTCCTGACAACTTTGTGCACTCTTTTTTTATGGGGCTTTTTGCTACTCTAACATTCCCCCTCTGAAGAGGTAACCCTCCCTCCCTCGGGTTCTGGCTTCTACCCTCCACACACCCAGGAACATGTCCATCTGGTTTCTCTATTCTCAATTTTGCTTTATTAATATGATTGCAAAAAAATCCAAGGTTATAATTAAAGGACCTGATTCAAATTCACATTTTCTGATCTCAGAGCCATGAAACATCTTTGTAGATGCCCTAGTAACTTGTCTACAAGAGATGTTTCAAGCATCTATTCTGTAGCACATAGCTCCACTTCTGCCCCTACCATTTAAAAATATTTTATTATTATTTTTTTAATTTATGTGTATGAGTGTTATTGCCCGCATGTATGTAAATGTACCCCTGTCATGCAATACCCAAGGAGGTCAGAAGAGGGCTTCGATTCCCATGGAACTGAAGTTACAGATGCTTGTTAGCTGCCATGTGGGGGCTGGGAATCGAACCCAGGTCCTCTATAAGAGCAGCCAGTACTCCTAATCACTGAGCCATACACATGCATGAGGCCTGCAGAGGCCAGAAGTTGGAAGAGGTCCTGGAGTTGGAGTTATAGGCAGTTGTGAACTGCCTGACATAGGTTGCTGGGAACCAAACTCTGGTCCTCTGTAAAAGCAGCAAGAGCTCTTCATCACTGAGCTATCTTTGCAGCCCCACCTATGGATATATTATATCACCAGGGAGTCAGGAAGTTACACCCAACTGATCAGTAACAGAGAGATGAAACCTAAGCCTGATTAACAGGACAGAAAGGAACTAGCACTTTAAATCTTCTCTGTAGAAATTTGAAAAAATTCGAAACAGGTGCTCCTGTGACTGGATGAATTACCAAAGGGCACTAACATCCAGAAGCCAACTAGAATTCAATGGATTCACAGACAGACAGACAGAGAGACAGCCCACCCCCGCCCCCATGTAGGGCTCCTTCTACACCAGGCTGCACAGGGCCCTCTTGGCACCCGTTCTAGATGCTTAGCCTCTCTGAACCCGTGGACGCTACATTCTCTGCAGCTTTATCGTCTCAAGAACATAAGTCCTGTTCTAACTGTTGATCAACCGTTTAGAAATCTGAGTGTTCACTTTCCAAATTGGAAAGCTAAGGCAGAGAACTAAGATGATGCACTCAGGTTCACAGGGAAGTTAGTAAGGCACTGAAATATCAAGTTACTCTGCAGACGCCTGCCGCTTCCTTAATTGCACCATTTTTCTTTACTAATTAAATGTTACTCCATCTGTCAGCTTCTACAAGGCTCAAATACTAAAATCTTATTTTAAATAATCATATAAGCCACCTTTTCATGCTAGTTTAACAAACTCATGACGTAGCCTTGACTCCTTTCAAGGATGAGGTAGAATAGACATGAAGAATAATAAGCACAACTACAATACTTGGATGTGAGGCTAAAGTCTTCAGGTTTGTGGTTGCTGTTGTGCAGGGACGTCCAGGAAGCACAATTCTAGCCACAGCTGGTGTCCACCTGCATCAGAAGGAGCCCAAGAATGATGGAGGGCATCCCTGTGCACCCTACATCAGTAGAAAGTACAGCGCTAGGAGAGAGCACCGGCTATTTCTTCTATGCAAGATAATAAATCATTTCTTCATACAAAGTGATTTTATAAAGAAAGCCTCTCTGAAGAACAAAGGAACTGAATCTCTTCTACTTTGCTGTCATTTACTTTCATTTAAAATAATTTGAAAATTAAGTGAAAAGCTAACGTACACTGATCATCTGATTAAGTGCTGTGTTAATGCAGCACCGTCCAGTTAGGCTGTGGTATTATACAGCACAAAGGAGTTCCTTTACGTAATGGGGTTAGGTGTGGCTTCGTTATTAAAAGAGCTCTGACTTTCTGTCTCAAAACAAAGAAATTCTAGTAAATTCCTTTTATTCTTCTGCAGGAACCAGGAACATAAAGCTATAAACAGTAGCCATGCATTTTAGAAACTAGTAAGCTAGAGAATGGCAGTAATGACAATGCTCTCTGCAAGCACCAAGTGAAGTGGCCAGTGTGCATTTGCGTCATCTCAGATAATCAATGGCGCTTCATCAAGGGCAGATTAGCACAGCATCTATCTCAGTGAGGACCTGGGCACCAGCTCGAGGCATTCCGGGTGCTAAGGATTAAGACCTCACACAGAAACCTACCAAATCACCACAAGGATTAGGTGTCTTCTTTCTTCTCCCTCCCTCCCTCCCTCCCTCCTTCCCTCCCTCCCTTGTTTCTCCTTTCCTCTTTTTTTTTTTCTTTTTTTTTCTGTGATGTTAAGAACTGAACCCTCATCCTCCCTACACTTGCTAGCAAAGCATTCCACCACTAAGCTACACCCCTAGCCCCCTGACCCTTCAAAGGCAGGATCTCCACTTGACTGATCCTCCTTAATCTTCCTGCCTCAATTTCCTGAGTGGCTAAAACTATCCATCTTTAAAGACTGGCATCTATTAGGAGTTTATTTAAAATTTTCTGCTGTTGGGGCTGGAGAGATGGCTCAGTGGTTAAGAGCACTGACTGCTCTTGCAATGGATCCAGGTTTGATTCCCAGCACCTACATGGCAGCTAACAACCATCCTAACTCCAGTTCCAGGGGATCTGACACTCTCTTCTGACCTCCAAGGGCACTGAACAACAAAGGTGCACTTGTATGCATGCAGGCAACACACTCATACACATAAAATAAAATAATAAATAAAATATTTTTTAAAGTCTCTGCCGTTTTCAAAACTAGTTCCATAGTGGGTTTAGTGGCACATGCCTCTAACTCCAGCACTCAGGAGGCTGAGACAGGAGGCTTGTGAGTTCAAGTTCAAGGCCTATCTGAGATATAAAGTGAGACCTTGCCTTAAAACAAAAACTAATTTTCATAGAAAACAGTAACTACCACTTCTGAAAAATAGGCAAGCTTCAGAAAATACAAACCGTGAGAATTTTGTAATTAAATTTAGTAAATAAAGAAATTATGATGTTTAAATTATACAAATGAGCTGAGCATGGTGGTACTCGCCTTT